ACATAAAAGTAATCATTCAAGGCAAGGAGAAGGCCTTTGGCATTAGAAAGGTTACGTACCCAAGGCACCCTGCAACTCCATTGTACACATCAACGCTTTCTCATCTGTGTTTGATCCCAATAACCAGGTTTTTTCTTTGTTTTTGTTAATGTAACTCTACAAATCATATACACATGACTCCAGGGTCCAGCTTATACCTGGTAAATATCCCATTAGTACATTACAGTAGTATTTCAGTAACTGGGATAGAGCTTCAGCCACTCAAGCATAGATGTCAAGTGCATAACTGTGGGATGTCCCCTCATGACTTCTGCTGCCACCCCCAGGATGTGAGGGTCTCATGCAGATCCCTTGCTGTATCTGCCAAACATGTATAGATTTATCTCTCTGGCTTTTTCCTTCTAGGTGATGGCTTTTCACCCTCTGAGGTTGCTGCTGAAATAGCTGAAATGGTCTCTCTCATCAGACGACATCAATATTGTGTCCTTATAGGTGTATCTTCTCCTTGACTATGGACACATATGAAATAGTTTCGCTTCTCAGAAATATATGGCTCCCTTTCTGAGAAAGAAACTGCTTAATGTCTGTGTTGTTGGCCAAATCACTTTGCTCCTATTTTGAATGCTTGTTGCTCTGATGCTGTATGTTCTCTGCTTCCCAGACCCTTTAGGTGTGCACTTTGTCTTCTTGTCTTTTCTGCCTTTCCCAGCAGTTTCTTCCCCAGGTTTGTCTCTCTGATTCTCCTTCCACTCAGGGCATGATTAGTGACTTCACAGACACTCTGAAAGTGTTTAAGTTTGATTTAACAAAGACAATATTGCTTGGGGTTTTTTCTGATATCTTTTAGGAGCTATATTCTGTTGTTAGAAAATGAAAAACTCTTTCTTGGAGATCGGTATGATTTGTATGATTTCTCACTCCCCCAAAAAAGGAAAAAAAAAAAAAGTATGAGAATGACAGTGCCTGAAGTAAATTAATTCAATGACAATTTTGCTGGTCTTTTGTAGATACAGAAGTTAGCATCATGGCTCTTCATTGTCATCCTGTTCCTGTGTTTAAAAGAGTCTAGTCCTCAGAGTGTGATACCACTGGGATGTATTTTGTCATTGTTGAGGGTATTTAGGCAACTCAGCATCAGATCCCCACTACCTTAGAAAAGAGCACAGTGTTTAAAAATTTAAAACTATATTCAATATTTACTTCAGATGATGGTGCTTTTTCAGGTATTCCCTTTTTGAACTTTCCTTGTAAGCATCAAGTCTCAAGCCTCCCATTTTTCCCCACCTCAAGCCAAAATTCTGGCAGCAATGACCCCTTGGACTGGGCCTTTAGCAGACTAAACACATAAGATTTACAGTAAAACAGCCAGTTACATCATCATTTGGGGAATTACATTTAAAGTGGTTTTTTTCTTTGGAAAACTTTTATAAAAGATTCTGAAAACAAGTTGCAAAGGAGATTGTGAATCAGCAGTGAACACCGATATCTTTTTTTCCCCTCCCTTCTCCACAGAAGCACTCTTGCTTTGTGTCTTGTGTCCTTTCTGGCAAACTAACTCTCAGGAGTTTGGGGTGGGTTTTTTTTATCAGACAGATTTTACAGATTAATATCTTTGTAGCAAACATTGAAATCCATAGAAAACCCCACCTATTTATGATTAATTCTCTACAAGTGGGAATACTTGATAACATCTAATAGATCTCTGGCAAAAGCCAATGCCATTTCACAACAGAGCCCCACCCCTGGGCCATGAAGCGGTTCTTAGCTGAGATCAAGTCATGCAAGTAAATAAATCCCAAGTTCACATCTGATTAAAGCAGATATATGGGAGGTGTGAACAAGACTGGCCAGATGCTACACCATATGATAAATACCAAGGATCATGGCATCATATAAAAATGGGCATTTATACGGTACAGCTGGCTATGCATAATCTTCTCCTAATTTATAAGGCTGAAGCATCTGGTCCATTGCTGTTTCTCTATCAGCTTTTCTGGAGCCCTGTTCTTGAATTTCTGGTAGCTGAATACTGCTCTTGTGAATGCCAGTGGAATGGGAAGATAAAGCCATTTATTGTAGGAGATAAGCACTTATTCACTCCAACAGATAAGATAATGTTCAAACATGGTCATGAAAGAAATAAGGGTAGATCCTTGAGGGATGGGCTCCACTTCACAACAAAATCCATAACTGCAAACTCTCAAAGACATAGTAGCTATTTCTCATTAGTGGGACCCTCAGCTGTGACAGGGGGACCTGGCCAGATGAGGCTATTGTGACAGGCAGACATCCCTCAGCAAAGTGTCAAGTGAGAGCTTACAGAATAGGTTGGACAAGTCCTAAGTCCTGCTTTTGTTACGCTGCTTGGTCTTCCCCACTCAGTGCCATACCTCCAAAAGTCAGCATTTATTTATCTCTTTCCAGAAATAGAAGCCGGCACTAGGGTAGGAAATGTCTGCTCTGTAAGTGACTTAAAAAAAAACAAGAGAAGGGTGTTTTCAGATGGGTCTTGCAAACTTTTAGCCAGAAGAAGCCAAGCCAATGACATGAAAGCATCCTGAACTGAATGGTGTGTATATGTGCATGAACCACTGTGGAGATGGGTGCCAACCCAGGAGATGGTCTGCTTGTGCCCATGAAGAGAAAGAGAAAAGAGGGGTAGAGCTCACTTTTCCAGGTATTTCCAAACTGACTTGCCTGCAGGAAAGTTCCAGCTGTTGTTAAGAGAAGTCTCTCCTCTCCACCCTCACGGAGTCATAAGCAACAATGCAGCATACAGCCTAAGGCACAATAAGTTGTTTTTAAAAGTTACAGCATTGCCAAGGCTATCTAGAAGCTGTGGGTGCAGATCCTTCAGCCTTTGTGGACTAAAAATACAGCACCAAACCCCTCCCTGGTAAAATTACATGTCAGAACAGCTCTGAAAGGAAATTTGCATTTCAAATGGAAAGGGAAAATTTGCTTTTGCAGAACATCATGGGGCTGGCAATAATAAATCATGGTACTTGTCAGAATGGAAGTGGGTTCCTGCAACTCTTGCACTGCTTTCCGTAAGCCTGTGTTGTTGCTGAGGAAGTGAAATCTGCTTAAGAACACAACTGTGCAAGACTTCTTCAGATCTTTTATTGTTTTTCCCAGTATACATGCTGCACATTTTTCATAATTTAATCAAATTGAAAAACTTTCAGATTTCAAATGTCTCCATAGATCTGCAGCATGGCAGCTGTTGTATTTCTAGCCAGGTCTGAATGCTTCAGGTGTCCCTGTGGCTCTGCTGCTGCTTCTTTCTTTTTTTTTTTTTTTTTTTTTTTAAATGTTTTCTTTAAGACAGTTTCACCCTCTGCATCTGACATAGGTAGAGTATTAGGCATTGTCTTCTCTGACTAGGGTTAGTAGGTGCTACCTAAACAAAGCTTTATCTTTGTGTAACAGTGGCAATATGAGCTGCCCTAAGGAAAGAAGTTAACTTGAGAAAGAACCTGAATTACTACAGATATTATTTTCAGGCTGTGATAACCCCCAAATGGATGAAGTTGCCACTGCTGAAATATGACAGGCTATTTCTTAATAGTTTGCCTGGTCAGCTTTATTGTTGTTCTGGCCAGTGCAAGAAGGGCAGCAGGGCAGTGCTTCATCTGAGGCTTGTCTTGGCGCTAGGTATTGTACAGAGATGTAATAAGACTCATGTCCCAAAAAAACGTACCTAAATAAAGAAACTGTGTGATGTGGTGGGGAAAGTAACTGGAAGAACTGGGGAAGGAGTAAAAAAGGAAGTGTGGTGAAAGAAACCTGGGGTTATGGACTAGATATATGGACATGGCTAGACATCTGCAAACTTAGTCATTCAAATATATCATGCATTAAAATCAGATGGTGGAAATATTTATTTCTGGAATGATCTCTTTCATTTTGATAAAGGCAAGTATAACAAGCATTCACTTCCTTAAGCACAGCCTCTTCCCAAACATGCACTGCCAGCACCCTGACGCAGCTCTCGGCTGCGATGCCTCCAATTGAGGTGTTAGCGACAGACCATGGAAAATGCTTTGGATGTGGCTTACGAGAACTCAAAGTCAGTTACTTAAACTGAATCGATCCACCTTTGTGTACGTGATTTAAAGGAAAAGTAGATAGTGATTATGTAGCAGGGAGCTCCAGTATTCCCAGGGCTTGCTTTGCCCTTTTGTGCCTGGTCCACTCTCACCTCCTCTCATTTCATCTGCAGTAAAGAGAATGTAGTTAAGTACTAACACTGTCATTGTCCTCATGGTACCTGCCTTTCAGATATTTATATGCATTGATGAGATCCCCTCTCAGCCTTCTCTTCTCTAGGCTAAACAGGCCCAGCTCCCTCAGTCTTTCCTCCAAAGAGAGATGCTCCAGATCCCTAATCATCTTCGTGGCTCTCCGCTGTGGCTCTCCAGCAGCTCCTTGTCTTTCTTGTACTGAGGAGCCCAAAACTGGACAAAGTTCTCCAAATGGGGGCTCACTAGGGCTGAGTAGACTGATCACCTCCCTCAGCCTGCTGGCCATGCTCTTCCTGACGCACCCCAGGATACCATTGGCCCTCCTGGCCACAAGGGCACACTGCGGGCTCGTGGTCAACTTGTAATCCACCGATTCTGCCAGGTCCTTCTCTGCAGAGCTGTTCTCTAGTGGGTCAGCCCCCAACCTGTATTGGTACTTGGAGTTATTCCTTCTCAGGTGCAGTTCCCTACGCTTACCCTTGTTGAACCTCATTATGTTTCTCTGCCCAATTTTCCATCCCATCAAGGTCGCACTGAATGGCAGCACAACCTCCAGGCGTATCAATCTGGACCCCCAGTTTTGTATCATCAGCAAACTTGCTGAGAGTCTCTTCCTTCTAATTGTCTTTCATCGAGTCAAAGAAAGGATCTTTCCTGTTTTCATTTAAATGAGTTCCTGGCTTAATCACATACTGTATTCACTGACAGAAATGTTATGTTGAGGGTACTAGGAAGACACTGTGAGCATGGGCATACTCCTGTACTGGACATTTCTTATTTTAAAGAGAGGACAGTTTTTAAATCTTCTGTTGCAACCATTGTTCTAGAAGACATAAAATATCTGAAACTTCTGGTTTATAAATTGTATTTTAATTCCAAGACATAAAATAGAAAAACCCTTGAAGGAATCTTAAGGATACTTCCACAAATGCTTTTTGAATGGTTTTTCTTTCATATTACAAGGCTTTTTCCTTTGAAAATGCAAATATATACCATCATAAATTGTAATATAGGACATAAAAACAATCCTTGACCTTCATGTAGCATAAAATGATTGTGATGAATCAAATAATTTAACGCAGCAAAGGTTAGTTTAAAAAGTGTCCAAGTATGTATTCCAGACATAGACAACAGCTGCTGATTTACAACTGGATCTGTGATGGAAGGCATCTTCTGCCATTATTCCTGTAATTGGGAAGAGAAAGATAATTGCTGCTAGAATGTGCATTTAAGCTGGGTGCTATTAAACTGAATCAACATTGAACACATGCCATTCTCGTGCATACCTCCTGCACCTCTGCAGGTTGTTTGGAAGTCCAGCTCTAACCTGAGCTTCTAGCTCTTTACAGTACTGGGAAAGTGAGCAAAACTGCAGGAAAGTCCCCTAGAAACTGGCTCCCTACTTCGCCTAAATCCACTGACCAAGACTCAAGAGAGACCAATGTTATGCATCATATTATGAAGCAGAAGAAAGGAGAACTTTTATAGTTAGGGTATAACAATTAGGGTAGAACAGAAGCCCAGGTTCAAACCCTGACGCTTTTCCAGTTTCTCCCTAGAAAGGGCCCAAATATGAGGTTGCTAAGGCCAATTCCAATGAAGTCAACTGTGGGCTAGGTCTTTGTACACTCTGTGACTTTGCACCTGCAAGACAGGATTGATAGTAAATCTCTTTGCTGGGCATACAATACATGAAGATAGTCTACTGATTGAGTTAAGTAAAAAAACAAATTTTCAGATCAGCTAATGGAGCTACCTCTTGCATTTTGGCCCATAGGAACTTACAAAATTTGATAACTGATTTATTTTAAAAAAAATATTACACTGAAGAGTGGCTATGAAAAGGGGACAGGCACATTTTAATTAATCCATCAGATCAATTTCTGAACAGAATAGGATTACAGAGCTTGCAGGAGAACTGCATGGTAATAAAGTTGCAGGTAAGTCATTTTCCTGATTAATTCTTACTTGACAGAAAAAAAATTATGAAAGAAATACTATTTATAACTGTTTAAAGAAAGAGGACAGAGATAATTCTGAGGACAGTGCCAGCATGCAAATAATTTTCTATCCCATTCTTCTAATCTCCTTAGCCTTATCATTCTTACCTGGTGTGCAACTAACCAAGATTATGTAAGAATTTTAGCTAATATTGTCACATGGGATGGTAGTTTCTATGTCACACTTTATTTTCTCATTTTGGAGAACATCTGCCTTTGTGAGGGGATAGATCCTGACTTCCAGAGTCATCTCCGGTTTCAGCTAGTGACTTACCTGTCACAGAGGTGCCAGCCCTGTCACTGCAGCACAGTGCATTGCCTGCTGCTGTAGGCACTGCTGCGGTCCAGCATGGGCATGTACATTTTAGCCACGATGCAGTAGCTGACTCCAGGCCTCAAATCTTTTAATTTAATAACCTTATCTTTTCCTTCATACACCAGGACTCTGTGTTGCTTCAGATACAATGGAGAAAAAAGAGCCAGTCAAGGACATTTCCCTAGCAAATGTGTTTGTGAGTAAAGTTTAATAACAACAGAGGGTGCAGAACAGCACAAAGTCCATAGCATTAATAATTTATTTATGATTTTTAAAAGAAAATTCTGCCTCTGCCCTCAAATTCCCCTCCTCTGTCAATTTTTTAGTCTAGATCTTAGAGTATGAAATACTAAGTTGATGAGAAATAATAGAGGGAGGAATTACAAGTCAGTTCAATCAAATTTTATTCCTGAAAAGTAAGCCTACTCTGTTTACAAACGCCCGTGCAGTCATCAATGCGCTCACAATCCCAGAAGAGTATTTCAGCTGTAAAACAAGAATGATGTGCCCATACTTTCCTGGCTTTTCAATGGTAAAGGGTTCATATTTGAATATACACTTACCTCATCTAGCAAGTTGTTAATTATGAAGACTTGATACAGCAGATCGTAATAATTTGTCATTGGTATCTTGCTGCCTTTCTTCCTTTTATACGGAGAACGTGGAGCCTGGAGCTTTACTATAATGGATTTGTTGCTGTGAACCAGAGTTACTATTGGAGGTCCTATCATAGCTAAGGAGAAAACCCAAAGCTATAAACACAATTCTAGTTTGTTAATAGTATTTCATAGAATGCAATTTGGATCTATTCAACAAATGTTCATGTTGCCAACAATATGTTATGCTGTATTTACTGTTAAAGTGCTACTTTATGAATTCTTGCTTCTTGGTGGTTATTGTTATTGTTATCTTTGAAACAGACTTTTTGAAATCTCTTAGAGCTGCATGTTGCTGAGTGCTGACTGGTCAAGCAAAACGTTTTGGATCCTTTGCCCTGATTTTCTTTTTCCCTCATATTTGTCTGTGTTCTTGGACTGCATAAAACATCCATTTGAATCATTTCAGTTATGCCAAGGATGCATTTGTGCAGGAGGCTCAAGGTAGTTTGCACCTCTGAGCGGTGAAGTGACCCACATTGACAATTCAATTTTGCATTGACCAGTGAGGGAAAATTGGTTAATTCATGGGGAACTTTCAGGCAGTTAGACTGGCACTGTTCAGTGTTTGGACAGTCCTCCATTTCTAACATCCTGTGGCATTATAATGACAGAACTAACTAAAAGCTTGGCACATGTCTGTTCTATGTCCTTTCCTGCAGTGAGGAAAACACATAAATATGAAGAGAATGGTGGCCACACAGCACTCAGCTCTCTTTTTGACCCAAGCAGGGAATGTTTCCTTTTTTTTTCCATCTTGCATCATGTCCTTCCAGCAGCTTGAAAACTGGCTGAAAATAATTAGTGTAGTTCCATGCCCTGAGGAAGAGGTTGAATTAAAGGGATCTGGGCACTTTTGATCTCCTAACTATTGGTAAGTGGCCATTTAGCCATAATTGGTTGTCTTTCAAGTGTGGGGAAAATTATTTCAGTATAACACCTGGGACCTATTGAATCACAACTTCTTTAGGTACAGCCTTGTAGCTAGAAAACGATGCTTGCAAATTGTGAGCAGAAGTTATGCATTCCATGCCTTGTAAGATCAAATTCCTTTCTGAGAGACCCATATGTTTGCACTTACTTTCTCGCCAGGGAGTGAATCTGCAGCTGAGGCTCCAGTTGGAATAGACACCAGCCAACGCGGCTTTCACTCTTCCGTAGTAAGGCTCCCGGATGTCAGAGGTCTCATGTGTTAGGTCACAGACATGGCTTTGAATTCCCCAGCAGTCATCTTTGTTTTGCCACGTGGTCTGCCCATAACTGAGGAGAAAGAGAAGGAAGGACGTAAACTTCAGCTGTCACTGACTGGGTCCATGCAGATTGTTAGCCCTCTGTTTTACTTCGGTGTCACTGACAGGTGTTCTGCTGTGGAAATTAACTGCCTTCAATTTGGTGACAGGGAAGGTTGAGTTCAAGGGCATTTGGATGCCACTGGTTTCTGCTTTTTCTGAAAGAAACTTAAAGCAGAGACATGGGTCACCAGCCCTGTAGGAAGCCACCTCTTGCCCTGTGGGAGAGGAAGGCAAGCTTTGGCTTAGCCAGCATGTTCAACAAGGAGCAGAATGCCAGATTTCACCAGGTAATTTCTCAAGGGCAATGATGATTTCAGGCACTCACCAGGTGTGCCAGGGATGGGAGCAGACCCTGAGGACCAGCCCCTAGTGTTGCCTCAAGCTTGCCATCCAAGGCACCCTGAGATACTGTTGTGGGCAAGGTGGGCCACTGAAATACCTTAGATGTCCTACTGCAGAAGAACTTCACCTAGCCAGACCTGCTTCAGGCAGGCTGTTGGACCCAGTGACCTTCACAGGTCCCCTGCAAACTACATTTTCCTTCAACTCTGTGGTGCAATGAGGGTACAATTGTTGGAGGTGCTTGTTCTTGTCTGCCTCATGCTGCTTGGCTGCACCTTATGGGATGTTAATTGATAAGTGCAGTGACAACTGAGAGCTGGCAGCCAAGCGGGACATGGCTGTTCCCCAGGCATGAGGAGAATATCCCACGTCACCTGAGAACTCCTTTTCATGTGGCCAGCAGGGATAGGCCCTGGCACAGTGGGAGGCTGGAGTTCCCCCGGTACTTACACTTTGTACTGCACAAAGTAGAGTGTGTCTCTCGCCTCTCTGGCCCACCCAGGCTGCCAATGCAAAGTGCTGTTGAAGTTTAACGAACGAAACTCTACCTTCTGTGGCTTAATTGAGTCTTGCAGGTCTTGGTTTTCCATAACTGAAAGTGCTGCAAATAAAATAAGGAATGATCACATAACATGTTTGTCCCAGACACGCTCCTCTGTATTGAAATCGTGGGGGTATTGCTGTAGACCTATATTTGGTTTCATGACTAGCAAACCACAGAGGGAAAATTAAATCTTCTGGATCTCACGATCAAAACATTCCAAGTCATGAGATTTAGTACTTACAGAACAAACACATTTAGTATTATGAAAGGAACACTTTTATGTGGACTGTCTGGGTGGGGATTTTTTGTTGGTGGGTTTTTTTGTTTGGTTGTTTGTTCTTTTCTTTTTTTTTTTTTAATTTTTGTGGGGTTTTTTTCCTTAGTAAGTTAACTGCTGTGTAAGATGCCTCATGCACATCCCAGGAAACAAATCCTTTGGATATGTTCACAGAGTCTGCAGTAAGTAGCCCAATCAGTAGTTAAAAGTCAAATGCTCTTTCCTCTGCATCTCAGTTTTAACCTGGAGAGATTATAGCTCTTTTAACTGTTACCACAGTTGCATTTATCAGCTCTTGCCTAATAAACAATAACCTGAGATTCACTGCTTTTTCTGTCTGCACTACTGGAAAAGCTGTCTGACAGTTTTAAAGGTCATCTGTTTTCAAATTGCAATATTACTGATAACAGAATCAGTTAAAAACCTCTCTGAAACATCCAAATCCTAGTATTTTTCTGGGTTTTGCAGCTTAGATGACAGCAGCTTTTTCCCTGGCATATTGCAGAATCAAGTAAGACTTGAATGGGCTGAACTGAAACTGGTAATACAGCCATGAATAAATCTAATGGGTAAACATGCTTCTTTTATCTGCATTTCAGAACCTTTAAAGATAAAATAACAGACTACTTTGAAAGTGACTGGACTTTTGAAACCCAGCAAAAGCTCCTAGAGATTTCTTGACTCATCCAGAGATTCAAAAACAGGACCTGTCCCCCTCCCCCCTTCCCACACAGGAAAAGAGCAAAGAGCTCTTACTTACAAGTTATCTCATCCTGAAGCAGGTGCATCAGTAAGCAGAGGAAGGAAAGCATGATCCTCCTCATCCTTAGGAGAGCAGCTCCATGAGTGAAAAGCACCTCTCTTCCTCTTGGGCATGTCTTATGAGGAAGTAATTGTTAATCACTCCAGACTTCCCCTTATTCTCAGTGGTTTTCCAAATTCCCCGGTTTGGTTTAATTTAGCTGGAAAACATATGAGTTGCTCTAAATTAAAAATGAGCAATTGTTCTGACTTGGCAGCTGCAGTCACGCTGAAGTTTGGAACTAATTATGAAGAAAACCTTCTTAAATAAGGTCCTTTTTAAAGAGACTAATTCCCAAATGACATCTGTCAGTATTGCTTTATCCCATAAATTTATTACAGAAGCTTGCTTGCTTGCTTTCCTTTTTATCTATTAAATAATTTATCTATTTATTTATTTATTTATATTTCAGCTCACTAGTTGCTCAGAGCTGAAGAACACAAGAAATTTTGCTGCAAATGTATAAAAGACCTACCCGGGTTGTCCTCTGGTTTGACGGACTGTCTCTGGACCACATGTAAGAGACGGAGTTTGCAGGTGTGTTCACAGCAGGACACCATCTAGGAGCGTATCATTGGAAGAATGAGGGGCTGTGAAATCGCTGCTGGCTGTTGGGCAGCACATTCACACCACACGAGCTGCTGGAGAGATGACAGGAGGCTGCAAGACTACCAGTCTCCTAACAGGGAACGAGAAGGTAAGCCCAGCCCATTGGGCCAAAGTGCCTCTCTGGGTTGGACTTTCAGACTGCCAGTTATATGCCCCAACTGGTGCAGCTGTGCTGCAATACTGCCTGCACAAATATTGGCATTTGTTGATGCTGTACTCGGAATCCTGTCTTCCCAATATGTGCATCCCCTACAAGCTTAATCCCAGGGCTGGAGATGCCAGGGTTCCCAGGCAAAAAAAAAAAACAACCTCACTTTGTGCTTACTAATGTTTAATGTCACATGCACTCCTGCCTGGTGGGAGTTTTGTGCTCCTGGGGCATATGGAAAACTCAGCCAAGTCAGCTGCTGGTGGGGAACGTGGTGCTACTGGGGCAGCTGGGAGCTCGCTGGCCCTGCTGCCTGGCCTTGCCTCTCACGCTTCCCTCTCTGAAAGCTCCCCGGTGCTGACACCCACCGGTGCTTCACTGCTCATGCACTAGTGCAACTAGGCAGAAGCCAGGATTCATTCTCTTTTTGCAAACTCATGATGACAAGCAAGAGAAGAAAAATGCAAATTTTGTATGACTTAACGCAGCACTGTGTAACAACCCCCACCAAAGGAGTAATGGATGTGAAGACCACCTGTCTGCAGACAAAAAAAAATTATCAGAGAATCACTTCTGCTTTGGGAAAAGGTGGAGGTAAATCACTTGTCAGATCGAAAAAGTGTAAAGTTCTGGTTCAAATTAAGATATTCTTTTATTTAAAAGCAACCAGTTATATTCAGTTATATTCATCCAGCAAACTGGACAACATCTAATCAAGAAGCTGACCTTGGTCAAACAGATGGGCACAGGCTCTCAGTTCAGCTGATCACCTATATCTCATTATACAATCACCAAATCTGCAACAGATATACTAAAATGATAACTGTGTAGCTTTGAATAACTAATTAGTCAAACCAATTAAGGGAATTAAAGAATTGAGAAGAAATGAAGTAAAAAAATACCCACCAAAATGAAGGCAGAAGGCAGAAAGTTTACCCTGGCTGTAAATTTTTTATCTATCCATTTCCCAAACACATTTTCAAAATTCAGTGACCTTTAAGTAGTTCCCCACATCAAATGCAATTCGTATTTCATCATGTTATATGAGCTCAAGTGCGGGAATAGGGAACTTTTACAAACCAATCGCTAGACTTAAAAGTCATCAAAGTTTAGTCACAGGTCATGTATTTGTTTGCTCAAATAGTACCAACACACCTTCCCATACCTCACGTAACAGCCCATTGCCAGGAGCTGAAGTGTGGACCTTTGCCAAAACTGCATTTGATGGTGGCTCCTCCTACAAATGCAGAACTGAGGGCCAGGCTGCCTGGCACCCGTGGGTTTTGCTCAGAAAAGACTGCTCTGCCACGTGGTGAAACTGGGCAAGAAACGCCTGTCACGTGGAAAAACTCATGGTCTCCTGTGTATTGCACACTGATAGTGTTTATCTGCAACTGAGCTCAGCTTTCTGCATTAATTGGTAACTCTTCACATAAATTTGGTTGTTATTTAAACAGACACTGTTTCAGTAGCAGGTTATCAGCATCTGTAATGTTGTGCTATTCACCAGCTTCAGTCATGCTGCTTCAGGGCTTTCTGTGATAAAAATTACTGCAGTCAAACAAGGACCAGCTACACACACACCCACACACATATAGATATGTACATACACCTATGCCTCATAGAATACATATAGAGTACACTTTAAAAAGGATTCAGGAACACTACAGAATGATGTGCACTGCAATGCTATTTAAAATATAAGAATTTTTAAAAACAGTATTAAGGGTGCTCTGAACTTTATGAAGAGTGGAAAATAAAAATATATTACTTTCTGCAGCAGAATTCACATAAGTAGTTATGCTACTACCTCATCCTCACTTACACTGAAGCATCTTTTTGATACAAACTGCTGTGAAACAGCAGAACTGATGTTTTTGTGAACCACTATAGAGCTCTGGGCATGAGAATCTTTTCTGTTCCTGGAATAGAAACTTATCAGAATGCTGGGAAAACAGCTTTTTTACCTCTTGAAGACAAACTATTGCTAGACAGAGGTAAAAGTTAAGCACATTCTTGATGAAAGCTACCTGATTCATCCCACTTGATAGCACCGTCTCCTTGGTTATTCTTTTTCTTTTTTTTCCCCTTGAATGAGTTATTTTCCATACATAAGAGGAGACAATTTAACCCTGAAACTGCTACTGTAGCATGACCTTTGGCTGTGAGTCTCTGATATTTGCAGTGGATATGAGGGTGGGTTGTGCTGAATGACAGTGCGGGAGGATGAAGAAAGAGGAGAAATTCCCAAAATCTATAGAAAATACTTGTAGTAATTGGCAGAGGCCAGGTAAGTCTCTCTCGTGTGGCATTTCACACAAAAATAAAAACAATGAGTAATTCACATTACTCTGGACCTAAAGACTATTCACAACAGGAGCTAGAGCTTTCAATCTTTTCTAAACAGCCAGTGGGGACCCACAGGAAAACCTGTCTTAGGAGGGGATTCTGGAGGTCTTCCAGTCCACCCTAATGCTCAGCACAGAGCTAATGGCAATTTTATCCTACACTTAATCACTTTTAGTGTGGGTTTCCTCCTGCATATCCTAGTGGCATTCCCCTGCTGCAATTTATGACAGCTGGTTTATGTGTTGTTACCGGGGCCCTTGGGAGAAAAATCCGTCATTTCTGCAAACGTTTGTTGTAGTTGTCTACTGCAGTTAGATCTTTCCTGAGTGCCACCTCTCCTGGCTGAAGGGATCCAGCTCCCTCAGCCTCTTCTGGTGTGTCAGGTGCAGAAGGGCTTCACCAGCTCAGTGGGGACAGGGAAAATGAATCTCTACACTACATACAAGATAAAAAAAAAGAAAGCAAACAGCCACAGTCAGGCAGCAGGGAGTTTTCAGATTTTTTTTCCCCTGCTCTTTAGGGAAGAGGGATTGCATCACATGAGTTCTCACAGAGAAGTTTCTGAGGAAGCGAGGTAGACTTTCACTGCACAGTGCGTGCTTTCCCTGCTTCCTGCCCACAGGTACAAACCGTTCAGCTCTCACTTTTAAAGGGCTTGGGTCAACATCTTAAAGACTACAGTTAGAAATTCTCAATGCTGTAGCTGCATCCAGGTAACAGGACATCTGAACATATTAAAGATGAAGATCTGCTGAAGGCTTGCAAATATCAAGTCATTATTTGCACAAGCAGTATTTATTTAAGAATGTGCAAGACACTGAATTGCACCAGGAAGTTAGTAACCAAGTTTAAAATTTATTAGGAACTGAAATTAACAGCAAACCCCGCAATAGCTCAAAACATTTTATTTAAATGACAGGTTCCCTTAAAAAATTGTAATTTTTTCTCATTTGCAAAGCCATATGATTGTATTTTTTCTACCTCTAAGGAGTGCTGCAGTTTGTTTAAACCCATTGAGAAAAGACCCACTTTTCTTTATATTGTGGATCCCTCAACAAATCACGCACAGACAAAAAGACTACCAACTTGGAGACACGTGGAATTAATATTCCACAATTTGTCTGGTTTGCTTAAGTAATCTTAATAGTATTGGAAAGGTGCCAGGTGCTCACTCAGCCAGCAGAAACCCCAGATAAGTCTGCAGAGGTACAACACAAACATTGCTAACGCCTTCTTGGTCCACCTACCAAAGTAAAGAAAGGGAGGCTCAAAGCCTGGCAGTGCAAATTCTTGCTCTCTCTGACATACTGCCACCAGAGGCAGCTGAGGCAACTCCTGAAACAGTACTGTGGGTAGGATATGACTCACACATTCATTTTTTTGTAGGTGGTGGCTGGAAATCTCTGTACCTGATGATCAAAGTCCTACCTAGTCCACAGACTGCACCAGGCTGACTTACCACACAGCACAGGAAGGCCAAGAGGCCGGAAGGTATGTATTCAGAGAAGAAGATGGGAAGAACTGGAATTGTTGTGTCCACATCTGTAATCAAAACTTCTGGTAGCTACTTTGGGCAATGAACCCCAGAAAGATGCAAGCTCCAGGGGTTTCCCTGGCCAAGGGAAAAAAACCCCAGAAATAAAAAAAAACCCCTGCCTTTCACTCATCTCTTCTGCAGGTACAAGTTTTTAAGCATCACACGTTCTAGCCTGTGGCTCAGTTCTGTGGTTGTCTTTTGAATTCTCAGTACCATTTCTCAATCATCCAAGGAGCACTAACTCTAGACCAGAAGTCTATTTTAACAAGTCTTTACCACCGTTATCTCCAAATGACTACTGAATTTGTATGTACACTGTAGTTTTACAAGCCTGCCTTTTTTAATATGTACACTGTTTCAGATCTTGTGTACAGTTCTGAGCATTCAGGAATCAGCGTGCTGAGGTTTTCAGGACAGAACACTCCATACTTAGCGGAATTGGTTTTCACACTTCTCAGAGGTGTTAGTTTCGAGTCTACTGCAATGTGACCATTTAACCTGAAAATTTCGATCACCCTGTGATTCTTAATGACAGAAAGCTTAGTTCCACATTCTTCTTCTTAGAGGAAATGAAGTTTTGTGTATGTCAAATAAAATTGCTAGTTTTGCTGCACAACTTGAAGCAACTGATTAAGTAATTCTTTGTAATTTTTCACAACCCAAATTCACAGTGTTATATGGTAACTTACATTCAGATTTTGGGGACAGGTAGGAACTGGTACTATACTAAAAGCTGATATAAGGCCAGATTGTTACCTGGGATGAATCCCCATAGAAGAAGGGACTTAGGAAGGGCAAAGGTGCTCTCTACCTCCTTGCTATCACTGCCCTCCAGCCATTCAGGCACGCTTTTGCTACCCTTCCTTACTTCTTATAATTATTCTCACATTTCATCACATTTGCAGCAGGTCATTATTACAGGCCTCAACTCTACCAAACCTGGTAATGGAAAGCACACAACGCTACTTATGGTTCTTGTCTTCCGGAATGGGACTGCACGTGCCCTCCACCCTTCCTGTAATTAAATGAGCTGCTATTAATTTGCAAAATACACCACAAAACACTCAAAACATAATACAAAACAGCCATAACCAGAAAAAAAATACAGTGTATTTATTTTTAGCCTTTTCACTCTCTATTTTCAATCTGAAAGGATTGTCTCCGTGGAAGGGTATTTTTGAAGGGCTGTAAGTTGTTTAAGCAGCCTTTCTGAGTCTGTTATTCAAGTGATGTCAGCACAGGAAAAAGCCAGATCAGACCTGACATTCTACTGTGCATATTGCAAATACTGGACAACTGCAGGATTAATTTTGCACTACACATAGCAAGCTGGCTGGCAGAACCACCTGGTTTGCCTGCTCATCATCTGCTCTCTTTCAAGGTGTGTTCTTCAGAACAAAAGCTAATAGTAATAAAGAGGCAAGAACACATTCTTCTTTTGAGGTTATATTTTCACATAAGAACATTTCAAATGTACAGTATTTACAACAGTTCAATTACACACTTCAACCCAATGATTGCATCCATTTAGAGAACACATAGAGTATTAATGAACAAGGACTTCATAGTTAGAGGACTGAATTACAAAAAATAATTGAAGAAATCTATGCAAGTCATTTCATGAGATGAAAGGTGCTTTGTATTTGGTTGGTTGTTTTGGTTGTATGTTTTTGTTTTTTGTTTTTTTGGGTTTTTTTTAGGCATGCTGAAACTATTAATTTGAACCAAGTACACCATCTTTTACTTATTAATACTCAACTGTTTAGATGGCAACACTTCAGAGCAACTGGTTACTCCTATCCCTGAGAAAAACAGGTCTTCTCACGCAATTTTCTTTTCCTGCAATCTTCTAATGAAGCATTACATATAAATGTGCACGTCTGTTCCAGGCAACTGGGACCCTCTATGGTGTCTTGTTTCCAGACATCAGTAGATTTCATGAAAAAAAATTTTTTTTAAACTACATTGCTGATTTATGTGGAAAACCACATAAAAGCAGATTTAATGCTTTGCCAGCACACAGTACTGCCACATTACTTCACTGTTAACTGCAGATCTAATGATAAAAAATTAAAATGTCCACTCAAGAACAAGAACTAAAGAAGTTCTTAGAAATGTTGTCAAGTGTTAGGCCAAATTTTTGTGATGCAATTTCTCTTACACAGGATATAGTATTTTGAGAGTCCTATATTACATCATTTCCCAAACTGCCTTTAGGAGAGAGGAAGGGAGGAATTCTGAAAAGCCAGGACAAGAGTAAAAATCACCTGAAAAAGTCTGAAGTGGTGAAACCTTCTAAGTGTGTCATACTGAACAGCTGATAGGTCTGTAAAAGGTATGAATATTATTTTGAATGTGTAATTGTTAGGCACTTTCATATCCTATGTCAAGGTGCTGTGCACAAATATCCAGAAGCTCAAGCAAACTACTTCTTCCTCACAAGAATATTAATTTATTAAAATAAACTAACTAAATTAGGTGAAAATGCAGAGATAAATACTCCCTGACAGCCTCCCAACTACATGGACATTGCTTAGGTACTTGGTACTGCAGAACTGCAGAAGCAATGCTGACTAGCTGGAGCTAGAAAGACATTTCCATTTCCTTGTCCCACGAAGTCCTCACACTGCAATCTGCTGGATTGTATTCTAACAGAGATACTATGAGGCACTTGCCCTGTTTTAGCCTCTCAATACGACTACTGGCAACTGCTAAAAACAGGACTGGGAGAAACAGAGCTTAATGACCTGGAAAGACATCCTTGTCTCACTGTGGCCTCACATTTTTGGGAAGTCACAGCTAATAAAAGAATCCCATGCTTTGTGCACCCTTAAACTTTATTTCACAATTTAAAAACCCTGTAAGCTGGCCAGAACAATTTAAACATCTAAACTATCCTTGTGCTACTGGCTACTTGTTAAGTATACAGCATACAGAAGACAGACCTGCAGGGATGGTGCTAACTCAGTGGCTTTTGTAATTAGAGTTCAGGAATTTTCATTAAAAAATACATTTAACCTTGTAATATTACAAGACGAAGTCAGTTGTGTGCATGTGTATACATATATATGTGGTCCAGTACCAAGCACTGTTATTGTATGTAGCAATGTTACTGTTCCTGATTTTCAGCTTACAAGATAACAGTGCCTTTCCATTACATGTGACTATCTGTCATGCCAAATTTTTCCCATATGTTTATGATTTATTTCTGTGCCGTTTCTTATTGATCTTAACATTGTTGTTCTTAATTATGTCCTAGCTTCTGGCTGGGTCCTTTTACTCACATACGACTACATGTGACTTGAAAGATTCAGAACAATGTACAAGGTATTGCAGGGGGAAAAGAATCTGAGACAGTCACTTGGTTTTAAAATGCATCTATCTGCATTCCTCTTCTAGTGTGGCAGCAAAGGAGAACCTTCCAGAACATAAAACACTTAGTGATCCCTTATGTTCACACAAATCTAAGATGCTGAGTCTTAGCTCCTAACAGCACCAGGGTTTCCACATGCACTGCTAAGAATGTAGATCTAATTTTCCACGAAATTACATTCTTCTGACAGGATCTTGGCTTTGAGGCAGATATATCACATGGATATAGCACGAATTACCTGCTACAGGTAATTCATGACCCTCTTGGAGAACATCAACATATTTTTTTTTGGACAAGACTGACAGAAGGAAAACAAACTACTATTTGCAAGAAGATATAATACTCTGAGCAGTTGTAAAGAAGATACGCAGCAGATACGCAGATCTGTCTGATCAGAAACTTCTTCCCAAAACCAAGGCAACTTCACAGTTTCTATTTATCCCTTCTGAGTCAAGTTTAACCTAAACAGTTATGTGACATTTATAAAGTTCTGAGGTATTTATTACAATTCATATTTGTCAACAAACCTCCAAACCCAGAAAGCAGTTACATCAAGCTCTGCACAAGACACAGCTGCTCACCTCCTCAGCAGACAGACAGCTAGAAGCTTCAGATATGAACCACATCACTAAAACGAAGGATACTGAGGTGCTGGAGCAGGTCAAGAAAAGAGCAACCAGGGTGGTGAAGGGACTTGAACACAAGTCCTATGAGGAGAGGCTGAGGGAGCTGGGATTGTTTAGCCTGGAGAAGAGAAGGCTCAGTGGAGACCTCATCACGCTCTACAGCTACCTGAGAGGAGGTTGTAGCCAGGTGGGGGTTGGTCTCTTCTCCCAGGCAGTTATCAGTAAGACAAGAGGGCATTGCTCTGCCAGGGGACATTTAGGTTGGATATTAGGAAGAAATTCTTTACAGAGACGGTAATCAGGCATTGGAATGGGCTGCCCAGGGAGTGGTGGATTCTCCATACCTGGAGGTTTTTAAGATGAGACTGGATGTGGCACTGAGTGCCATAGTCTAGTAACTGCAATGGTAGTGGATCAGGGGTTGGACTTGACCATCTCAGAGGTCCTTTCCAACCCAGCTGATCCCATGATTCTATGATTAATTGAAAAGTCAGTTCAGCTGCAGTTTTAAATGCAAGTTAATGCTGATTTTCAAAAAGCCTTCTTGTAACACCAACAGAGTTATTTTCTGCACTTCTGCCATGGAGATACCTACACATTAATGGATCCCAAGCAGTAAGTCACTAAGCGTTGCCTTCTAGGAACTCAGCCTAGACCATGACATTGAAAAAGCTGCTAGGTGATCTCACTGTGTTTGAATATAATGCAGAAACAAATCACAGCCAGCTAACAAATACTCAAGTCTTTTGAGTCGGGTTTTCCATTGCAGCATAACTATAAAATTCACATGCTTGATTTGGCTTTTCCTATAATTATCAAAATCCTGCTAAGCAATCTGTTACCTTCCTGTAGTTAGTGATGGGAAAAATAGCTACTGTCTTAAAATTTTTTGTAGCACTGTGGTCAATATCTGATATATGCAGGAATGGAAGCAGTCCAGAAACTGCTGTATAAGCTAAGTTCATCTTAATAATACTCCTATCACTGGTTTTCCTTCAAAACCATCTGCTCTAACATGCTAACAGTTCTGATAATCCTACAAAGACATCTTTTAAAACAAAGATACAATTTTGTATGAATAGACCAACTTGTGTCTGTAAAGCATTCTTTTGTTCTGAAGAAAACATATCCTACAAATAGAAAATACCTATCAAATCTTGACTAAGGGGAAATAAATGGATTAAATGGATTTTAAATATAATAAAAAAATATAAAAAGATCCTTATCTTACAGTTTTCAAAACTACAATCTCTATGCCACAAAATTCAGAGGGCTGTCAGATGGCGATAGCTTATGAACTACAACTTACCACACTGTTTTTCTATTGTCTTGAGATGTATTTTTAGAGGCAGGTGATTTTGTTGTAGCTCCTGAGTTACGCCATAAAAAGGGGAAAAATGGTAGTAATTTTCAACCTGCTAGAAAACATGTTTGGAAGAAGTCCTATTGATTTGTATTTAAGGATTGTTCTAAGAATTACAATAAAAATGCCCCAGAAGAAACAGGCTTATGAATTCTGAAAAAAATTTCTTAAGAATTCGTGCAACACCCATTAGACACTTTTTTTCACTGATGATCAGCCAGCATGCTAATACATTCCAGAGTTATCCAGAATATGACACGGTTACACACTGTATCTTGGTGGTCCAAATTGATGCAGCCATACTCAAATAACAGCAGTTTTAAAAACAGGTAGGTTTTTTTGGTCACAGGACTTAAGCTACAAAGGAAAATGTCTCCTGCTAATTAACTGAAATCTACAAAGTGATGGTCCTGGAAGCGTCCAAAGGAGAGCTACAAAGATGGTGAAGGCCTTGAGGGGAAGCTGTACGCAGAGCAGCTGAGGTCACTTGGTCTGTTCAGCCTGGAGGAGACTGAGGGGAGACCTCACTGCAGTTACAACTTCCCTGTGAGGGGAAGAGGAGGGGTAGCCACTGATCTCTGTGCTGTCCAGTTATAGGACCTGAGGGAATGGCAGGATGCTGTTTCAGGGAGGTGTAGGTTGGATATTAGGAGAAGGTTCTTCACCCAGAAGAAAACTGGCTGGGCACTGGAACAGGCTCCACAGGGAAGTGATCACAGCACCAAGCCTGACAGGTTCAAGAAGCGTTTGGATGATGCCCTCAGGCACATGATGTGATTCCTGGGGCTGTCCTGTACAGGTCCAGGAGTTGGGATTTGATGATCCTTATGGGTCCCTTCCAACTCAGGATATTCTATGATTCTAATAACATATTTCTAGTCACAGGAAAAGCTACAAGTAACTGGTTCTTTCCCATAATTACAAAATCCGGTTGGAAGGTACCTCTGGGGATTATCCAGCCCAACCCCCCTGCCAAGGCAGGGGCACCTAGAACAGAGGTCACAGGAATGTGTCCATGTGGGTTTGGAATGTCTCCAGAGAGGGAGACTCCACGACCTCCCTGGGTAGTCTGCTTCAGTGCTCTGCCACGCTCAATGTAAGAAAGTTCTTCCCCATGTTGAGGTGGAATTTTGTGCATTTTTAGTTTATGGCCATTACTCCCTACTTCTTTAACATGGAATCAAATTCTTAAGTTATACAGGAAGAGCTTATATGCATACTCTTCCTTAAAAGAAATACTAGCATTTAATTTAATATAAAAATACCTTCAAGAGAAGAAGGCAATCAAGAGGGCACTTCCAATAATGGCAAAAACTCTCAAACATTTCTTGCACATCTCTACCATAATCAAACAAAGGACTTCTTAAGTACTATGTTCATCAAATTAATTTTGAAAAGGATCTGAAACAGAAGTGACTAATGGTACAGTTGCTGTTTTATAGCCCATGAAATATGTTTCCTGTAGAGTATTCTTAAAAAACACACAGTGCTACTTCAAATAGGAAATACTAAACTATATTGTATACAAAAACTCTTCTAGAAATGGTTATTATGAAATTTCCCCACACTTTTTATGCAGTTTTCAGGCACTACTTCCACTTGCGCACTGGTTACTTTGGTTGGATCAGAACAAGTACAAATTGCAGATGTTCATGATTTAACTCAGATTTTCCATAATCTTCAGTAATGCTGTTTTTCCTGAGTTCTGGTTAAACACTTTTGTTATCCTGGTTACTCAGTTGGCCTGTAAGTATTCACAGGCTGTTCTTCACCAACATCTATCATCAACATATTTAATGGAACATGAGGCTTGTCATAGCCAGAAAACTTGAAACAGCTGCTTGGAATGACTTCTTGCCGTGTTTCTGTGGCAGAAACCTCTGTACCTGAAGAGTTACTGCATGTATCCATTTGGCTACTGTCAGAAATGAAATAACTCTCTTTTACTTTGTAATTCTGTTCATCAGCATCATAAGATACCTCCTCTGTGCTTTCCTGCACAGACTCCTCTTCTGCTTTGGCTGGTGCCTCCAGGGTAAGTACAGAAGATTCTCCATCACCGGAATTCTTAGGACTAACAGTTTCTTCTTCTGGCTCTATCTCCAGCAAGGTTACTTCACCATTCTCTGGCAATGCTGACTGGCCTGACGTGAAGCTTATTACAGATATATACTTCCCCTCCAATTTTGGCCCTACAAGTAAGGTGTCTTTGTTGAGGTTCCTCATCACACTGACCTTAAATGGAGAAAAAAAAAAACAACACACAAAAAACCCCTTCAGTTTAGAGGTTAAAAAAGATACAAGTTGATAATACAAATTTAAGGTCATTATAACCAACCCCAAAACGAAATTGCAAAATTAGAATCGGGTGCGGTCATTAGCCCATATCCATGTTTTCCAACTGTTTCATTAAAACTTGTATGCAATTTCTGAAAAACGCTTTCTCTGTGTAAAAACATTTGCAAGAACCAAATCCATTTCATGTCACCCACTGTATTTTAAGTAATTTGAAGTTTTCAATGTAAAGGAAAATAGCAAAAGAAGAAAAAGACATCATATTCTTCAACTAGCCAGGGAAACCTTTCATACTCTATAGCTAATGAGTGTAACTTACGACGACTGCAACAATTTCTGACAACTGTCTCAAATGGGAGGGCAGTGAACTTTTTAGAAAGAGATTTAAAATGGCACAGGAACCTTTATGTATACCTGATATCAAGCCCCTCAAGATCTGAGCCCCTTGGGATTTGAATCAAACTTTAGTTGTTAATCAGTAGCTGTAGTTGGACAGGTATGATTAAGCAACTGCATGGTGAACATTGTATGCTTAGTAATCTTTTGTTTTAAGGGAAAGGGAAGACAACCATGAGATAATTGGTCTGTCTGGATGAGAGCCACCAGGACTGAGGTCAGCAGAGCTGAGCAGTAACTGGGGGAAAGGTAATTCCGGCAGTGAGAGACTGTGACCACCAACTCACCGCCCACCGACTCAAAATGGACCCCAAACTCACATGGAGGGAAGAACTGCACATGCAGAGTAATTAGCACGAGAAGGGAGAGAGATAACTAGCAAACATGGGGAGAAGTAATAATTAATAAAAAAGTTATGTAACCATAACCAATGACCGCTGATGCCTTTTTTTGTTAGAACTTACAAACACTGTAAATTTTTTATGATCGGTGAGCCAGTCTTTTGTGGGTTACCACCTAGCTCATTACTGTTGCATAACTTAGAATAAAAAAATTGAAATACCTCAGTGCTGCACACCAGGTAATGAGCCTGTGTTCAGGAAAACATACCCAGTAACCGTATCTATGACAAAGTTTTCCCACTTATTTCACAGTGTCACTAAGCACTCCCTCAAATGCTGCAACAAACTTTAATGTTTCACTTTGAAATCCCTCCACAGGACGATCATATGAATTCCTTCAATGGTCAGGCTCCAGCTTGTTTTAAGCAATTATGATATGCCTTCAGGCTGTTTAGATTCTTATAATTTTTTTTTAATGAGTTCTCGAGAACACATACATATGAAAAACAAATTAGGGTAAATTTTCAGCTGTTTGATGGTGTTCCCTAAAGATAACAGAATGCCTAGGGAGAAAGAATTAATTAATAGTGCCCTTTTCCAAAATTTGTAATTCCCTATATATACATATGTCAGAGACTATCAAGTATTACAGATACGCAAATGTATTAAAAAAATACACAATCACCGTTTTTTTAGATGCTTTGTGAAAAATAATCTCATTGAAATTTCAGATTGAGGTAAATTAGGAAGAAAGGGATGTACGTAGGAAGAGGAATGGGGAAAAAAGATAATGTTAAGAAAAGTTACAGACAGGCATAAAGAATCTCCCAGTCTGTATTAGTCTAACAACTGACAGGGCCATCAAAACCAGATGATCGAATCTAACTGTGTTACTCAAGAGTCCTCCCTGATTAAAAGGTTGTGAGACTTGAGCTTCACATTCATACCTTGACAGTGTGCTAACTTCATTAGAACTTGCCTCCATCTCTCACTTCAGCTCCGTTATCCTTCCCCTCAGTAGCCCTGATTATCTGTTGATGCTACTATGTTTTAGGCTGGATTGATGAAACCATTGCAATTTAGAAAAAACAAGCAAACAAACAACAACCACCAGAAACCAAAAACTTAACACTCCCTGGAGAGCAGTTATTTGTAATCTAAGTGAATTTTACAAACAGCTGTGTGAGCACCACCAAAGTGAGGCAATCCCTGGGGAATCAAGGGCTGCCACTGAAAAACTTGGTAAGCACCCTAAGTGCCTTAAGGTGGCTCCTGACACACTACAACTTAACTGCCATTCAGCCATCACTGTCTCTGGATCTTCATTTTCTGTTATGTGGAGACAGAATACTATATAAAGAATATTCAGAGTAATTTTCATGAGAATTCATGGAAACCACTAATTCGTAAGATGCAGATGCTTAAAAGTTAGTTGCAAAAATCAGAATACAATCAATAATGGGTAGATACTGAAAATGCTAAGAACAGTTGGTAGGATAATTGTACTTTTTTAGAAGGTCTTTATACAGATATTTGAAAAAATATTGGACATTCATGCTATACAACAATGACCTTGAAGGGACCAGCATCTATATTTTTCCAGGTGAGGAGGTGGGTAGCAAAAATCTAGCAAAAAATCACAGCAAGTGACAAGAGAAGATAATTCTCTGTGTAAGATGGAATACTTGAGGAATGTGAATTTAAAAAAAAAAAATATTGTACAAACTATTGCTAAAACCTGCATTGACAACTTTCCATCTTAAACCAATGAGTACTTGTTTCTGTCCCCTTTGGATTTTCTAAAAATCACAGTCCTAAAATATGTTAAGGGATTGCCTTGTACTCTTATACAGGACATGCATTTCACAGTGAATATATAGAGAGACTTTGAGGATAAAATACCTATTCCCAGTACAACTACATTCAAGACTTTTTAAGAAGGAAACACATTTTTCTCTTGGCAAGTTCCTGACCAACACAAGATGGTGCAAAGACACTCCCATTCCCATCCATGAAAGAAGGAAGTGATCAGAAGAAAAACTCCTGGGAATTTCCCAGCACCAAAGGTTTTTAAGAGTCACTGAGTCACGACTACAAGACAACTCAGCAATTCACACAGTTGTTTCTGGCTTCAAAGATAAGAATCATATCTTATTGCACTAACTGGAATGCCATTCAAAGTATCTCAAGCAACAAGAGTAATTAAGATATGGTTGCCGTTGGAAGAAAAGTATTTGCCATAGGTAAGTTAGTATTTTTTCTTTTTTTTTCAGATTATCCAATAGTGGCAATATGACAGCCAGTGAGCTTAAGATGGATGCCAGCAGTATTTCCTGGCATGTGCAGGTGCTCACACAACTTCCTGTCTCCAGTGAGAATACCTGAGCTTTCAGGACTTTCCCTGTCTCAACAGACGAGGAAGATGTGCTGCTGAAAGCCCGGCTCAAGAATACAGATAAATAACATCTCCCAAGCAATCTGTAACAGTTAGTGTAATCAAAAGATTCTTTTTTAACTTTCTTTTCTAAGGACTTGTCCATGTACGAATTCCCAGTAATTTTCAGGTGCACATTTTCTGGAGGAGGGTTTGAAAAGTCCATTTCAAATCTTATCAGGACTGTGACAAAAATCTGCATGGCCTTTGCATGATTTCACAACACATTTATGATGTGTAAATTTACAAATAGAAGACCATGTTACTGCCCTATAGATGCTCACAGGAAAGAAAAAAAAAACAAACAAAACATTTTCACAAAAGATAAGGAAGCAGCTTCTCTCTTGTAAGATGACAATTATTTGTGGTAAGTATAAGTCAAAAATTACAGGAACAATTACAATTTCTGCAGATGAAAAATATATCTTGTATAACTAAAAAAAAACAGAGTTGCAAAGAAAAATCTCAAATGTTTCCTGAATACCTGTAACCATTCTACAAAGAGAGAACACAGTCTTGTCATTCCTGTAAGAATCAGAAAAAGCACCAGCAGGTAGCAGAAAAGTTGACTTAAGTATAAGCCTGAAATGAAAGTTGAGTCTTCCTCTTATGGAATGGAAAGCAGGGTATAGGGGGATCTTAGGCATTGAGCCAGCCCTGCACTATGGAGAAGTCATTTTAAAAGGTCTTGAAATTGAAGAACATGGAATCAAAGATCATGGGCTACTCTCTCTATAAGCCTTTTGAGACTTCCTACACCCACTGAGAAGATACACTTGCTTTGATTCCTGTTTACTTTTGCCTCACATGGCAGTTCTTTAAAGTTGTGATTGTTATGCCATGACTAACTGGGACACCGGGAGGACATTACAACAATACTTTAGTTAGACACTCCACTCTTGCCTGATGTGAAACCAAGAAGTACTTCTGCTCCTTAAGGAACATCCACTGTTTCCTAAGGACAGCTACAAGGAGCTTTTAAGATAGAGCAGCTGCTGACCTCTCTTCCCTGTGACTGCTCAGTGAAAGAACAGACTTCCTCTAGTCCTCCTTCCCTCTTCCTACAGCTCTATCACTCCCTTCCTCCCCTTACTCTGCATAACTCTACGAACATTTTAGCAGTTAGCAGTATTGCAATATTAAATGAAGGAATTTCAAGCTGTCCAGTGACAGGACAAAAGGGGGTAAACTGAAACACACGGAATTTTATCTGAATGTAAGAAGAACTGTGAGGGTGGTTAAACACTGGAACAGGTTGCCCAGGGCAGCTGTGGAGTCTCCTTCCTTGCAGGTATTCAAAAGCCATCTGGATACGATTCTGGGTAACCTGCTCTTGCTGAGCCTCCTTGAGCAAAGGGGTTGGACTAGACAATCTCAAGAAGTCTCTTCTAACCTCAGCAATTTTGTGGTTCTGTGTCTCTGCTACTAGGATAAACACAAACCTGCCTAGGTACACACACACTGAGCTTTTAAGAACTAAACTCTCAAACTAGATCAACTACTGCTACTTCAGTTAAAAAGAGACTGATGTCTATCCCTAAAAAAAAATAAAAGGCATCTGTTTGCAGATCCTATCAGAAGGTTAGACTGGTATAAATTCTAAACATCTATTACACCATGGTAAAAATACCCCCAAACTCCCAAACAAACAAAGAAGGAGACAGGCATAAAGATGCGGTAGTTATACAAGTTAAATAGTTGGATATTAAAAACCTGATGCAGATAAGAAGTCTGAACTTACCAAAGCCTTAGGCAGCGTTATGTTCCTTTTCCTTAGTCTCTTGCAGCCAAAATATACCATCACCATTACGCTCAGGCTCCCAATAACAACACACACAATGACGATCCATTGTACACCTAAGAAATTAAAGCAAAATCTACTAGGAAGTTTGGGAAAACAAGACCCTGCTGTATCACTTAGAACAACTTCAGAAATTGTAGTAGCTCAAAATGCTTAGCTGTAACATGTGAATGTGTCAATTTACTACCTTTTCTTACTCAAGAAAACTTAAGTGATTCAACTTTTATTGCGTATATAAAAATTAGCATGACAGAAGATTTTCAATTTATATAAACATAATCATGTTTTTATAGAAATAAAGGAAATTTATAACTAATTTTTTGTCCCTTAAGACATGACAGATGGGGAGATTTGTACTTTTTCCCTGTGATAGCATATTAACTAATTACACACAGTTTATGTACAATACAATTAAAATGCAAAATCTTCCAAAACAGAATTGTTAACTTTTACCAGTAAGATTCCACTGGTCTGACTCTCCTTAATGTCCTCCCCCCCAGCTCATACTGCAGCTCTTGTGTGTACAATAAAAACACAGCTGCTTCTATCAATTTTCTCTCTTTTCTCTACTGAAATTTCAGGTCATACTAAAGTAACATTAAAAACTTTGCAAGAGGTTATCAGAGATATAAAGCTGGGTCACTAGCTCCCTTTTGTTCTCTTAAGAGACAAATTTCATGGCCACAAGTTTATATTTGCTTCAAACTTAAAAGTCTGCATACAGTGATGAGACTGAACATAAAGTGAGTTTTCAGAAGAGACAAAAAAAACCCCCACATAACTCAGTGAATGATCCATTTGTTATTTATTACACCAATGACCAGGTGCAATGGAAACAAGTTTTGTGATACCAATGAAGCAGAAAAAGCACCCAAAAAATGTCAGGGTTACTTGAAAATCATATGCGATCTTTAAAGGTCTTTAGAACTGTCAAAGTGCATTTGGAAAAGAATGATCACACTTCCCTTTTTTTTTCTATTCTCCCATAGGCATCCCACGGCTATATCAGAACTCAAATACTTGCTAGATCAGATCTCTGGTCAGATTCAGTATTTTCTTACTATAGTTTTAAAATCCTCTTACTCAATGCCCGCTTGACAGGAACAAGAATGCAGCTTTCCTCTGATGGGGTGCCAATCATCAGCTCATCAAAAATTCCCTTCGCTGAAACACAGTAAGTGGAACCTTCATCAGGAACTCGGATATTGAGGCTACATTTTTCCATTGTACAGTTGTCTGCATAGAACTCTTCAGTCTCCTAAAAAACAGAAGACACATCATATGATTTGACTCAACAGAACAATGTTACAGCACCTTCCAACACTTGCAAAAACATTAGAACACTATGCTTAATGTTTCCTACATTACCTATATCCCTTGCAAAAGCTGTGTGAAATTCAGCTATCAGCTTACCGGCTACCTTAAGATGTTATATTTGACCAGAACATAGTATTTTCCATCTAAAATTTGTGCTGTTCATAGTCTAGATTCACACTCCTAATTCACTTCCAAAATTTTTACCTGGGTGGATATGAAAAGGTAACTGTAAGTAAACATATCTACTGTAATTTTCTTCAAGTTCACCCTTCATGATTGCTAAATAAACTCATATCAATACCTTGAAAGGTAAATTTCTTAAATGAAAGGTCTCTCTAGACAAGTGAAAGGGGTCTAAGTAAAGTTACCAATGTTTTAGCACATATGTAGAAACAGTAGCGTGGAGACAAGTAACTCTATCTTGTGTACAGCTAATGCGATAATCTATTTTTTTTTAACATTCATTTGGACAACTAAAATCCAGACCTTCCAGTCACATATCTCACTGTAATGCACTCAACATTTTAGGATTTCAATTTTTTTCTTGGTATCTGTTTGTTCCATTTGTCATAGGAGTAAATCTCTTGTTTAGGTATTTAATGTAAACAAGTATTTTTAATTTGAAGTTTTATTTTTGGAACTTACCTCATTTGTACTATTCCGAAAAGTCACCAGGTACTCAAGCTTTAAATAAATGTCCTCAATACAAGAAATAGGGAATAAAGGATGGTAAATATTAACCATGATTTTATCACCATGCCTTGAGAGATTCAGTTTTGGTGGTCCTATTTTTCCTGCAAGACATTGCACCATAGGTATTAGGCCAAATCTTTTAACATAATGTTATTTATAGTTAGCTTTCCAAACTTCGTCAGAGATTTGAGAAGAATTACATGTTTATTTCAATGCTGTTAAAGTCTATAGCTGTGCTCAGACCTGTCTGTTGCTAAGAAGTAATGAAGGCATTTGGATACATTAATGAATTGGCTTCTAAAATGAAACAGATTGTCCATGAAGAATTCCACTGTTAAGAAATTCAACTCTCCTACACACATAAGGCCATAACAATTCAGTTGACAACAGAAAAGACTAACAGCAATTCAACATACACATGAACAAGAACCAAACACGATACCGCTGACTAGATCTCACCATAAATCACCTCAGCTAAAAACAATACTGTACTGAAACAAAGACTACACAAAAAGCCAAACACATCTCACCTTGAGCAACAGTACTTTGGAAACCTGATTTCCCATGGTAATGGCGTCTGTGGAATTTTGGTGTCTAAATGATCTGACTGAACACGAGTTTCTTGTTCAATGGGAAAAGGATTTTTTCTCTTTTCTCCACACACGGCTACCAATTTTCTGCAAACTGTCAAACTCAGCATTATCACCATGACTTCCGTCCCTACTAGAAATCAGCCATTATTTCAAGTCATAGGACTACTGGATGGAGAAGGAATCATAGCAGAAAACAAAGAGGAACTCCACTTCTTCAGCTCCAGTATTGCAGAAATCCAGCTCTATCTAAGGCATAGCCCAAGTCAGAGAGAATTTCATGGGCCATGTTCTCCCTGAAAGGTGTACATTGAGAATGGAGCAAGCCTGAGAGGAATTCTCTTGGTCTTTCCTCACTCTGTTGCATTTCCTTTGCACCACCTGCAAAATGCCAGAGCCTGCCACACTCTACTGCATTGGCCTGGATTCTAGACACAAAATTTACTTTTAACAGTATTGATGTGAAAGACTGATTTTTCCCAAAGCAGCCCAAAGGATTAACATGAAGAATCAGAAACTCAGATATCCAGCTACGGTGAAATCCTACAGCTTCTAGATAGTACCTGGTATCAAAGTTGTCAGTACATGGCACTATGGTGTCAACCAAAGCATTATCTACTTCAGTCATGCCTAAAGGTCCATAGGGTCCAGTGACAGTTTCCTGCCCTAAACTGGTGTCTGGGGCAACAGGGAAGAATATGGGAAGGATTCACAGAGTGCACCACCAGTATCACCTTCTTGCCTTTAGACGTTTTGAAACAAATATTCAGATATCACAGCATCAAGGTTAACAAGTACTATGGAATTCTACTAAACAATCACCAGGTTTCATTTCATCCTGGACTCCTGGATTTAAGATATTCCCAAATGATACACAATAATACAAGAAAAAAAGATAATTATTAACTTTCTAAATTTTGGGAAAAAATTACAAGATTTAGGTTGTGATGCAACTTACCATGCCTTTGCAAAATAAACTCTTTTGTCTCAACATATTCAGATTGTTGTGACCCAATAACAGCTTTAAGTCGAAGCCAGTGAGACAAATAAGGCTCACATATTTCCCCTGAGAGATCACAAAAATAAGCTGAAGTGTTCACACAAGTTGAGACGGTCTTATAGGAATCAAAACTGTAAAACAGATCAAGTAATAGTTAATACAATTTCAACTGTATAACACTGTACAATACACTTCCTATAACAAAAAACTGAGAGGGTGGCCAGGTAGTGACAGATTGCCCAGGGAGATTGTGCAGTCTCCTTCCCTGGGGATATTCAAAAGCTGACTAGACATGATCTTGGATGACCTGCTTGGGCAAAGGGGTTGGACCAGATGACTTCCACATGTCCCTGCCAACCTCAACCATCCTGTTACTTGACTTGATTTTGCCTTAATTTACACCTGGACAACCTTAACCCTACATGACTTCACTACATAGACACAAAACTGACTGAAATTTAATGACCGACTGCTTTCATGTGCTTCCAGAGAATATCAGGTACAGGAAATGACAAAATAGTAAGAACTTACTCGTAAGGCTTGATTTCCACAATAAAATGAGGAGTTTCAGACACAGGTGGGTACTGCCAATGCAAAAGAGTTCTGAAATTTTCAGATCTTACTACAATTTCTGTTGGTGAAGGCACTAGAAGAAAGAGAACAATTGCACTTTGATAAACAGACCTATTCAAGTACAACAACAGTCAAATGTTCTCCTAAATTATTCAGAAAAGGCAACATGGTAGGCATAAAAATCCCAAATACTTCCCCCTCAATGAACTAGTTTGCCACCAGTACAAACACATGAGAGCCCTGTAAGTTGATTTATTATTCTCTCTCCTACAGACAGCTTTCATCCTGTTTGCAACCCAGAACATCAAATAACCCATGCCCACTGAAAGCAAGCCCATCAGATTGCCCATATCAGGTTCATAAGCAGTGCCGATTACACCCCTATGTTGGTATTTTACAGATATATCAGCAAGACAGATAGTATGAGTTTACTCAAGTTAGAGGAGATTAGCCCAGCTCCTGTTGGATTCTCTTTCTGTTCAGAAATTCAACTGGAGCGGGTGGAGGGTGAGGTGGGAGATACCAAAGCTGGAGTATCAAGGCCAAAAGACAACAGGTCTGCTGGGGAAAGCTCGGATTCGACATGATTTTCTAACAATGACTTCTACCACTCCAGCACTATTTTCAGTAACATGTGATGACAAAAATAAATTACAAACGTTTGTAAGGAATTTGAACCCTGAAAGCTATAATGTAGTTCCACATACAAGAAAGCATTCAAAGTATACTTAGTAAACAGCATCTGAGGTAATGCAGTAAAACAGTACAAAAATAAAAAGCAGCACTGACAGTTTTCCTTGTGCAGCAAGTATCTCTTCTAAGCATCAATAGCGATATCAAGGAAGCAGCTGCCGGGGAAGGAAAATTACAGGATCCTGTCACTACTGAAGGCTGTCACATGACAGGAAGAGAATAGAAAGGAAGGTCCCTCAACTGACTTTAACTGTTACTTCTCAGCTTCTCAATGCCTGGTTTGGCATCTTTAGTATTTTCAATATAGCTTTTATGAAATGTTGACAGATAACTCATATTTGATCTGCTCTAAGCTGCTGCTTGTTCACAAAGCAAGTGCTGCAACTTCACTCTGTGATATTTTGAGGGAAAGTAAACAATTTTCACATCTTGAGAGCAAGACCACAAGCATAACACATTACCGAAAGTAATACACTGAGGCTGAGATACGCTATCAACCACCAAGGTTTTAACATAGATACTCTGCAAATGGTTCTGTGGTTTATGCTTTAGTACATACAAAAGTGGTATTTCAGCTATTGGAAAAAAAGAAACACAATCATCAAATTCACAACCACATTAAAAAAAAAGGTGACAAGTTGACAGAAGAGGTGTCAAGCACATAAATGTTACTTCAAACACGCAATTTTAAGGCACGGTGTAGTTAGTCTTACTAAATGTAACTTTTGTGTACTACTATATAAATTAAAACTGCTTAAGAAAAGGGGTTGACCCCAGAGCACTGAAGGAGGTAATAGATGTTACAGTAGGACCCCTCCATCAACTGCCAAACTTTTGGGAAGGTCCCTGCTGACGGGACACTAGCCACTATTCCAATTTACAAGAAGGGCATGCGGAAAGACCCAGGAAACTACAGACAATCATCAGGAGCAGTCAATAGTGGTTCACAAAGTGAAAGTCTTATTTAACTGATTTATTTTCTTTCTACGATAAAATCACCTGCCTAGTGGATGAAGGGAAGGCAGTAGACGTACTTTTTTGGGATTTTAGTAAGACTTTTGATAGTGTCCCCCACCACGTCCTAAACAAGTTGTGGGATGTGCAGGTTCACAGCGTACTGAGTGAAGAACTGGCTGAAGGGCAGAGCTCAAAGGGCTGCAGTGAATGGAGCTGCACCTGGCTCATGACCAGCAGTGTCCCTTGGGGCTCAGCTCTAGGGCATGTTCTGTACAGTATTTTTACCAATGACCTGGCTGCAGGAGTTGAATGCATCTTTGGTAAATTAGCCAGTGATATTGTAATGGGAGATGCTGTTGACTTTCGCAAGACATGTGAGGCCTTGCAGAGGGATCTAAACAAATGCTCTTTATTGTCCAGCTCACAGCAGCTCAACTCAGCCTGCCCGACTTCTAATGGTTTCTCCTCCAGCCAGTCCAGAGACCGAGCCTTGGGACACCCCAGCCTCATTTCATTCCAGCATAAAGAGTCTAGAACTTCAAAGTTCTAACACTTAATCTTTCTAGATGTTACTTCTGCCTATTGCCAATTATAATGCCATAATACTTTATGTGAACACTGTTTTACCTAACCCATGATGAAGCATTCATTTTTTTTTAAACATTACACCATGTTCTATGTTGTTCAGCAGGCAAAACTGGAAGATGATGACATCAGCTAGGTCACAAAGGCCACTTTTAAACATAAAACTCCTTTTAATTTATAATAAACATAAATGCAGCAACACTCAAGGTGCAAACTCGAACAGTGAGAAAGTAAGGGTGGAAAAAGAAGAAAATTGATCAGTGATTCATGTTGTGATACATTACACAGAACACTCAACAAGTCCTAGTTTGCCTCCAGTTCAAATAAAGCGATTTCCATCCAAACTTCACCTTGCCTTGTAAGACAGCAATGTTGTCTGACAAGAAGCCAATAGACATGGCAGCAAGAACAACTTTTTCACAGAAATGGAGCTGTATATTTGCATTATAAAACAACATAAAAGAACTCCAGACAGCAACTCTACATCCAGAGAATAAAGGAATAAAGGACAAAAGAAGGCCAGTCAGAGTTCCAATTTTTTAAAGCACGCTAAAAGACATTACACATGCTTGGATTTTGAGGATAAAGGACAGGAATGCTGGAAAGCAAAGGTAGGAGTAAGAGGGGGTAAAAGCAAAGACAAGCATGGTCACAGGGTGACTAGAAGTTGAGCATTTAACAGAAAACAGACGTGGCAATGTAACTGCACAGTTTATCTTAGCAAACTCACACCTGCATCAGTTTATAACTTGGAAAGAAATGTATTTATTTGTCCATATATAAACAATCCAGACTACTGCTGCCATATTGGTGGCAAAGACCCCTGCAGGTGTGACTACTGTGCAATGTTTGTATATAAATAATCAAATATCTTCTCAATGTGCAATTATCATATCTATTTAAGATTAAGTACACATTTACATATTTAGCAAACTTGCACAGCAGACATGAAGAAAATACATGTGGGAGGAAATTAAATGCCAAACTCCACCAAAGCCTTTTTTTACTTCAAGTATCTGCTGCTGCTTGATTTCAGGCTGCTAAGAAATAAGGAGGATGTTGGGTTGGGTTTTTGTTCAAAGTAACAGAAACAAGTGTAGTTAGTGGTATCTTCTAAAACTAAGACAACTTAGCACTAATTCACTACTTGCAAGCAATATATGATGCAGTTCTGCTTCAAAAGCATCCATTGCGAAGTCAGAAAATGCCTGCTTTTATCTACAAGGGTAACTTGTGAAGAACAAGTCTAACTTGTCTTGTTTCATACATTCACTTCCCCAAGTCAAGAACACCATGCTGCACATCTCTCACAAATCTCAGTGGTGTCAGACATATGCAGACCATGTAGACATAAAGAAAGATTTCTAACCTAGTTTGAAACTTGACTATCTTTTTCACTTCTGAATACTACCTATGGAAAGTATTTATGAAATACAAGTTTGAAGCAGCCATATATCCAATAAAATATATTTTTAAAGCATATACAGAAGGATGTAATGTTTTTTACATACGTAGATATTCTAGCTGTTCATTGAAGTTCAGCAATTCACTGCCCAACAGCAAAAATTGATTCAATGAACTGGACAATTCAGAGACGTAAAAAAGAGACACCCTTTCAGCTGATGTTTATATCTTGAGCAACTCCAAAGTTCCTCCTCTCATTCTGGCAGAGGAAGAATTTGATATAATGCACAGAGGCATTACTGTATACTCAGAGGTTTTCATCATCACTGTTCACGGAAGTGGAATTTAACTGGAAGTGCAATAATGCACGTACCAGAATAGGGTCTGCTAAATCTAAATGCAGATCCTAAGTAAAAACATCTTGCTCCTTTTTCAGATTGCCATTAAAAAAAGCTAATCCTTACAATCCCCAAGTGATACATCATACGAAAACAATTTTAAGCCACTTCAATAGGCCAAGAGGGACAACAGCTTGAACTTTACTGTGGATTCATGCCAAGTGGGTAACTTGTCATTTAAAGACAGCCAGCTGCAACACTAAGAGATCAGTCCCTTCTGGGCCCCTGACTGGGAAAACAGTGTGTCTCCCTTGTGCCACCCCTGGGCTCTACCTGACCTCACACATCCACATTAAGTCCACTCAGAAAGGATAGTAGTTTTCAAGATGACTTCACAAACGTAAAAAAGTCCTTCTCCTTAGCTTTCACCCCCACTGAAAATGAAGACATGGGAAAAAAATCAGAGAAATCTGCACTACCCAGAATGCTTCTGCAAGACTCTGAAGCCATACACAGTGAAGAGAAAAAAAAAAGAAAAAAAGGTGACAAAAAGGCAGCCAATACTCTAAAAAGTGGATTCAGAAGGCAGCAAGTCAATGCTAAGAATGAAAAACAGCACATAAAAAGAATTTAGAGTGTCTCTGGAGGCTCCATTTCCTTTGGTTTTTTTGGTGCACAGTATGGGACTTGAAGGGTTTGAGATAGTGACATACTTGATTGGGATGTACTAGGTTGAATTTATAGCTGTTAGTGCTGTTTAGTTAGTAGTAAGTAAGCCCCTGTGCTTGCCAAAGGGCTTGCTTTTCTGACACTATATCAGAGTCCAGTACTCCTTGCTTTCACTGCTTATCAGTTTTCTATTTCTTTCCTGGTAACATTCTGATAACAGCCAGAGCAACGCAACAGGGCTGTCAGGTGGCCAGGGTATTGCTGCTGCTGTCTGTGTCCCTGTACTGGAGAGGCTGGAACTTTGATGTGAACTTGAATTGAAGGTACTGTTACATGTGAATGAGTCCACGACGGAGCAGAGATCCACCTGCAGCCCATGGAGGGCCCCATGCCAAAGTAGGTGGAGGCTGAAGGAGGATGTGACCCC